CATATATGGACAGTAGGAAGCTTTGGGACAGCACAAATAGGACATCACAAACATCACTCGGGTACCCCGGGACCGTCAGCCCCCGTACTTGGGATGTTAAAAAGAACCATCCAAGCCCCTGGGGGGCAAATACTCGTACTAATAAATATCTACACTCTGTATACCCTCTTTGAACTGGTGAACTGTATTCAGTTCTTGATTCAGTTACATGAAAACGTGCGGGTCTGGTCATAGATAAAAGAAAATAATCTACTATTACGATAGATATGAAACTTAATAGCAAAATTTTGGGTCAAAGCGCCCCTCCGTGTTTTTAGTGGAGACTACGTTTAACCCAGCGCCTTCGCCTTTTCTGCTGCAAATGTTTTTTATGTTTATATTTGAATTCAAAGGATTTATTTTTTACACTGCTATATTAGTATATCAGAGTAACTTTAATAAAACATAAGAGTTTCATGTAAATGATCGTAAGTCGACTGGCTGTCTAATGAATAGACCGAGATATATAGATTTTAAAGCGAACGAAAAAAAATCAAACAAGATACATACCTTATCGCCTTTTGGAAACACGTACATTTTTGCAGTTTTGTTAGTTTCTTTGCAAGATGCAACACAACAAGAAAACACCATTTTTACAGTTAATAAATAATAAAACTATTTCTGACTATGATATTTAAAATTTAGATAGATAGAAAATTAAAAAACAAACAATTATTTGCAAACGCAGGCCCAAATTGAATAGAAATCAAAATTTTTCCTGCGAAAATCAGGCTTTTTTCACTGAAAAGGTATTTTTTTATTTTTCAGCAGTCATTGTCAAGTTGACAATATACAGGGTGTTTTCGAATTAGTCTAAAAAAATTATGGTGTGATTCCTCATGTGTTCTTAAAACAATTTTTATATAACCACTGGTTCTAAAGTACTTCCTTTCTGATCTACAGGGTGTTAAAAATTAAAAAAAATCGATTTTTTTGCTTAACATAAATGACACACCACTGCTTATTAAAGAAAAAACATTTTTTTTTTCTTGACTGGCCATCCTTTTTCAACAAAATTGATCTTTTGAGTTTTTCTTGTTCATCAAACGGTTGTCGAGAAAAAAATAAATATACTTGGTAAAGGTGTGGATCCGGTGGCTGACCTTGAAGCCCATATTTGCTGCATTTGATCATCGATACTACGCAAGCGCACATGGTCGTTGTTGCCAAATTGCAGTTTCTTTTCAAATTATTAACAGTTGAAATTTTTTTTTGAGTGTTAATCAATAATAATACAAATTCTATAATTTTATTAATTTTATAATTTCAGATTTATCTTGATATCCAAAATTAAGAAATGATATATAAAATTGTAATAATAATAACATTTATTTATATATTTACATTAGAATTAAAAATTATCTTTTACGGATATTTTCTTAATGGTTTTAAACTTATTAGAATTATTTTATTTCTTTCAAGTTATTTAATTTCTAGTTATTTACAGGCAACAATAGTTTTGATTATATGTATTGATATATTAATTGAAGTACTACCATGACGAGTCTTATAGAACTCTGTTATAGAACAATACACGTCAATGGGAGATAGAGGTAACATTTTACTGTGATTTTACCTATAATGTTACTAATATAATATACTTTTATTATAACGTTTGTATCAAAATTTCTTAAAAATATCAAGTTAGTGGATTATAGCAATTTTAGACATATATTTTATCGAAGAGTGTGGTGATAAGACTAAAATATAATCTTTATGTTTTATCTTTTTCTCTTTAGAAGGGAGATGGTTTGTGTCGTAGAATACATTACAGTATTTAATATCGTGTACTTTGATATTCTTTTCTTAATCTACTGTAATTTCTTGTTTTCTATAATGCCATATCTTGACAATATGGTGAAGGTTGAGTTCTGATCTTATTAGCACAGTTATTAGTTTTATACCTGTGTTTATATAAGACCAAATTAGATTTAGTTAGTTTGTGATTTATATTAAGATCTTTCTTATAATATTTGTTATGTCTTAATCTTAATACTATATTATGCTTTGTCTGGAAAATAAATGTTAAAATATCTTAATTTTGCATATCCTATCATATTAATTAGGTGTAAGAATAGAGAAATCTTAAGGTAGCAGAAAACTGCAATCACAGAATGAAATATATGTATAAGCAGAATTAAACAAGGTAACCACAAAACATCCCCCTTTAGAACTTCGTCTGTCATGTTAAGAAATGAAAGTAAATAATAAAGCGCCTCTCGTGTTTGTTCGCACTCAAAAAAATTCAATTAATGCCAGTATATATTTTAAATATATTTTTTAAATTTACATTTTTTTAATTGTGAAGTAATATATTACATTTAAATGGAATATATTACATAACAATTATGTCAATTACAGGATTACAAGCTTGTTTTCTAACATTTTTTATTACATTAAAAAAAAACTGTAATTGACTGAAACTGAATTTTATTTACAATACTTTTGTCCAAACAAATGAATCGTTAACCGCGCATACTTCTCGAAAAGTAAAAATGGAAAAATCAATTAAATATTTCACTGTAGGGAATAGACAATTAAAATTAAAAAACATGCAACTAACAAAAACATGCCAGGAGTTACAAACAAGAATTAAAGAAATACCAATAAAATATTTATTGAACAATATGAAGAGGCTACGTACAAATTATACCCATCAATGGGCGTAGCAAATTTTATTAATATTCAAATTTCACAAATTAATAAATCCACAATTTTTTTTGAGAAACCAAACCATTGTATTTTATACGGTTACAAAGTGAATTAGTAAACATTTTAAATTCAAAGTGAACAGAACACAACCTGTACCTTTTGTGGGCCTTATTTATATCTTCAATCAAGTCTTCTCTATTAGCTGCAATTGCCCATGTTCTTGCCCTAAAAATGTATTGTTAACTTATTTTCGATATACTCATTTTATTTATTTTTATAATTATATTTAAATGAATAATATAATGATTTTTAAATTTAATTTTTAATGTCTAGATTCTAGATACAACATTAAATTTTATTTTACTAAATATTTAACATTAAATCTTACTAATATTAAAGTTTGTTAAGATTTTTAATTAGATCTTCCTATTTAGCTGATTGTCCTAATATGTATACTACTGTTTTTTTTTCACAACTAAAATATGTTAAAATAATTAATCACATATATACATATATACATAATGCCATATATACATACCTAATAGGATCTCTAGGAAACAGAAATAAACTTTTATTGAACAACAAAAATAAAACTACCAAAACAAAAAAAAAAAAAAATTATATTACATAATAATAATAATAGCTCCCGTATATAGCGTTTGACGCCTTGGGTGTAGCAAGGTACAGCTTGCCACATACTAGAGCCGTTCGGTATACAAAGGAAGGTAATGTGGCTAGCACTACGCTTCAACCGCCTATTATTACCTCAGGATTGTGAATCCCAAGTACTCATTTAAGGCTGAGTCGACCTAGGTACCCAAACTATTTTTATTTTAATAAAAATTGTCGGCTGATGAAATGCCGGGTATGGGATTCGAACCCACTACCTTGAGATTGGTAGACGAGAGCCTGTACCTCTACGCCACCAATGGAAACCCCTATTGACAACTATATTACATAAGAAACGAAAATAAAACTAAAAAAACCAAATATATCACATAATAAATAAAAATAAAACAACAAAAATAAAATATATCACTCAAAAAAAATCAAAATAAATTAAGCCGCACGCTACTGACTCGAATCTGCCGTAACTGTGTGTTGTCGCTGAAAAAACTACGACACTGGTTACTTTCTGTTGATGGAAACGCAAATGGCGGCGTGCGCGAGGATATGCGCGTAGCGTTCCCGCCAAAGCCAGTTAGCCTGCAGTGTGATTTATATGCCGTGCCATTACCATATACTTATTAAGAGCCCGCCTTAATTCGTTTTCTAACGATTTTTTATGTTTTAGATTAATTAGGAAACACCCTGTATATGCATATCACAGGCAACCCAAAGAGGCAACGAAATAAACTAGTAACCTCTAAAAATTATTTTTCCTACCAATAGCGACATACCGTGTTTTTAGTGTGTGGCAATGGGGTCTGGTAGACTTTAGGTACGTCAAAATTTTAAAATTTTCTATATACAGAACTGAGAAGAGGAACACTTATAATGACATTTTCTAAAGAAAGAAGTGCGGATCGTCCATAAATAACACCAAAAACAACCTCCCAAAAAAATGGTGTAACCAATGCAATCAAAATTCAGTTACGGCGGATGTTTTTACCATTAGAGAACAACGGCATACGGTTGAGTCGGCCTACAAACACGTAAACGTTTACGTACGCATGCGCATTTCTTATATTTTTATTTTTTATACACGTAAAAGATTCTTTACGTCTACGTCTACCTGCCAGCAGCGGCCGACTCGACCGTATGCCATTGTTCTCTATTGTGATCCTCTTCTCAACGTTTAACACAGATCAAAATATAATATCTATTCTTATCAGCTTAATATCGCTACCGCTATTTTTCAAAATTAATAGGAATAAAACAAAATCCCGATTTTCAACATTGCTACCGCCAGACGCGAGCAAAAGACAAATAAACGGAATAAACCTATATCTGCGTCTTCCTTGTCACTCTTATTAAACTTAATAAAGAAAGCTATATTCTAACCTCAAAAAATAAATAATTTTATTGCAGAAATCTCGAACATTTAGCCGAGTATCCGTACGATCCGTACTTAAAACGTTAAAACATTAATTGTAGAATATATTAATATCAAAATCACATCAATAACTTCAAGATTGACGACGTACCTAAAGTGGACCATCACCAAAACGCGCTTCTGTTTTTCATTCTAGACATTTTTCTAAACATGCAAAAATTTTCATTTATTATTTTTAAATTTACATTAGTAAAAATACCATTTTCATTTACTGATTATACTATTTGATGTTACTCTAAATAATATACTATTACTATTTTAACAAACATCTTGATTCTATTTATTTGAATCAATGTATTTCATTCACTCAGAAGCATTGAAAAAATAGGTAAAATATTACATAGATCAGAACGATCAGAATATTTAAACAACATAGCATTTATCAGAACTTCAACATTGAACATATCACCTCACATGAAAAGTGGCCCAAATATAAAAATACTAATTAAATATCTATACACTGTACCCCGTTTGAACTAGATACAACTTTTAAAACTCTCATCTAAATAATGTATTATTACTATTTTAAAAATGTCCATTTTAACACAAAACCATAAACAAAAACAATTACTTATAAATCTAATTACTAAGATGTTAAATTTGTTTTTTTTTGTGCTCTTTTATTCATAATGTAAAAGTAAAGAAATGGTAAATATTTTCTGATAAAAACTGCTAAGCGAGGCAACAAACTGCTCAATATAATTTCCTTTTTCTTTTGAACTACTGCTGTTACAATTTTTTTTGCTGCATATTCAGGACTATATCCAGATTCTGTAGTAACATCCATTATTCCATGAGGGTCTCCATTGCTTGTTAAAGCATTTAACGAAAGACTAGTCTTAATATAGCCTGGACTTATGACAGTAACTGAAATATCTTTTGAAGCTATTTCTGCTCTTAAACTGTCAGCAAATGCCTGTAATGCATGTTTTGAAGCACTGTAAGCAGATCTTTCTGGCAGTGCTACTAAACCTTGGACAGAACTAATGAATACTATATGTCCAGATTTCTTTCTTACCATATCTGATAGAACAGCTAAAATGTTTTCATTAATTTCATTCAAAATGTTTAATTACAAATGTTACCTTTGGTTAAGGCTAAAGTGCCAATATAATTTACAGACATAATTCTTTGATAAACATCTAATGTTGTATCACATACAGTACCTCTATGTGATATCCCTCCACAATTTATTAAAATGTCAATCCTAGAAGTAATTGTAAGTATTTTCTCAACACATTCTTTAAGTTGGTCAAAATTATTTAAGTTTAAAGGAATAATAATAGGGGGATGTGTTGTATCTTTACAATGTGTATGTAATAAATCTGATCGAACTCTTTCTAACTCTTGTCTCCTTCTGGCACAAAGTACTACTTGTGCACCATAGCGATAAAACTCATGGGCCAGTGCTTCTCCCAATCCTGAACTAGCTCCTGTTATAACAATTACCTATATAATATTAAGTAAAAAAAATAAAATAGATTTTTTAGAGCAATTTATTATTATGCTATAATACAATATTTTTACCTTCCCATTCAAAGTGTTGTAGCTCTTCTTTAGCCAAGTTCTACCAAGTATCTTAAATACGATCCATGGAATTGTTACAGCTAAACTTAAAGGTGCAAAGATACTAAAATTTGATAAAATATCGCGAAGGGCATTCATTATATCTTAAAGTTTGTTCTTTTTTTGTGTTATTTATCACAGAGAAAGATAGTACAAAGTATATAATATAATATACTTTCTCTATATTATTTATAAATAGCAGAGTAAATATTAAGAGTGTCTTGTTTTCTAGATTAAGTGCATTTCGGTGGCTTTGTCCAAGTACAAAGCACAAAACATCACAAACAAAACATGGTACAAGCAGAGTACAAGGTACAAAGCACAAGCACGCCCACTTATGGCCTCTAAACAGTGTTCCCAACATTCAAAAATTTATCTCCCTAAAAATCTAAAACGCTCGCATCAAAAATCCCCAAAATATCCCTAAAAACCTAAAAAAATATCCTGAGAAAACCCTAAAAATATAAATAAGAATAAATAAACAATTTGTTGTGTTTTAAGTGATTGACCTTGAAACGTCTGATCACAGCAACGTAGCCAACTGTTCGAAACTTTCCATTAAAGCAAAGAAAGCAAAGAAAGCAATATCAAACCAAATACGTTTAAATAAAATATACGACGGCCTCCCCATAAGAGCAATGAGAGGATTTACGTCCCAGTATTGAAACAGGACAGAAAATCGAGTCGAATGGTTTCAAGACATAGGTCAATCCTTGTTTAGTCAAACCTCCTACAAACCAAGGATAGACTTATGTAGGAAATGCATTGAAATTCTATCAACTAAAAATCCCCACAACTAAAATCCCCACAGCTGTTATCCAAGATTCGGTGATTAAAATAAATAAATTATTTTGTTTTATTTATACTTTCCTATTAGTTTTCAAAAATAGCAGTAGCGGTGTCCTCTTTCAAAGTCCTCTTTGGTAGCGGTAAAATTCCATTGAAATTTTATCCCTAAAAATATCATATACGTATTACTTTTTACAAATATACTCAGCCTAATCTAATCTCCGAAAAGTGAAGCCCAAACAGTGAAAGAACAATATGGAATTCTGCATAAGTCTATTTCACCCGGATATTCATTTAACTGAGCATGCCTCACCTGAAGAAGTTTTCATTGGTCGATGTTTTTAAAGGGAAGTGGTTGACTGACATTTCCCCTAACCTTCAATTTTATTTATATTTTTATTATTTATAACACATTATCATGGAGTTGGAAAAATAAAAAAAATAGTTGGAGCAATAAACTAAACAAAATCACTCTTTTTACGCGCACAAAATAAAGTAATCCAAACAGAACTAAAACAACAATCAATCGGAGTTTGGCGCAATCGCAGTTCAATCCATATCCGGGTGAAATAGACTTATGCAGTTTTAATATGGAGCTGGGTTATGTTGTCTTTTTCTTACGGCACAGAAATTGCACACGGGGTTAAATAGGGAACCCTGAGTATATTTGTAAAAAGTAATACGTATATGGGTTAAATAGGGAACCCTGAGTATATTTGTAAATAATACGTATATGAAAAATATCCCCAAAAAATTTTACTCCCTAAAAAAATCCCCATATAGATTTTTTCTCCCCAAATTTAGGGATAAAATCCATATACGTATTACTTTTTACAAATATACTCAGGGTTCCCTATTGCTCGGCAATCTATTTCTGTGCCGTAGAAAGGCTAACTGCTCCATGCGCTACGCTGCTCTTTCACCCGGATATGGACAATTTGTTCTCAAGCAGTGTTCAGGCACAAATTCTGTTGGATTACTATTATGCGCGTGGTTGTGTTCCAACCTGACTCAACTCCATGATGTGTTATAAATAATAAAGCAAAATAAAATGAGGTTAGAAAGTCAACTAAAACATCGACCAAGCTTCTTCCGAGTGAAGACATCTCAGTTAAATATCCAGGTGAATGTTATGCAAATTATGTGAGCTTCTGAAACCTGTAAAAAATAACTCGTATATGAATAAATCCAGGTTGGTAACACTGCCTCTAAACTCTAAAATGGTGCACAGCGCACAGCGCACAGGCCGGCAGTTTGTTTTAAACCAGAGATATGGAAGTGGGAGAATGAGCTTCGACAGGTGCGCATCAAATTTTGTCGACGGCAAGATGGCAGACATCTTCCAGGTCTCGCTGTCACTTCCCCTCTTTAATTGACATCTGTTTGTTTTTGTTTTTTCGTTTGTGTTATCTAGTAAAATTTATTATTATCTCAATTATTCTAAACACTAATTCAAAAAGGCCTGTTGTATATTCATAGTCATTCTAGAAAGCTAATACGCCGGGAATAATGATTAGTTTTCATGTGTAAGTTTATACAACATAATCGTGTTTACAGATGATTCAAAACTGTTTATTTTTAACTTTCCTAAAGGCGATTTGTAAAAATCGTGATTGTAATTGGGAATGGTCAAAAATAAGTGTATGATGTGGCCATTTAAAGAGGATGTTTTTATTACGTGTGGAGGAAGAAGATACTTGGAATCAATGTTCGTGGTTCTGTAAAACAGTGCACTCTTATAGTGTCCATGAAAGCACAAGTTCAAGTGACCAGAAATATATCAAATAAGATTGGTCCTTACTTGACAAGAAGATTATTTGGAGGAAAAGAAAACATAAGATAGGGTATTTTAATCGAACAGCGAAAATTTAACATTTTTATTGTAAAGTTTGTTGTAGGTAGTTGTAGTTTTGTGCTAAATATTTCTAACATTAGCAGCGGCTGTGTTCAGAGTGTCAAGAGGAGGAGAATTCAGTTAATTAGATTTATGCACAGTTACAGGTATGAAGGCTTTTTCAAACATAGTATCGAGTTCTATAGTCAACATTTTTAGTATTCCTACAACTGTAAAAACAAGGAACATTGGACTGGAAAAATGGCAAGATTTATATAGAAAGAAAGGGTATTATGCCAATAAGAAAATTAAATCTGTAGCAGAAGTTTCTTATTTAAAAACTGTTATGGGGCATATATTAATTTGTATCTGTGCCACAAATCACTGAGAAAAATCATATAATATTCATAATTGTTAACGAGATGATATTTAAAGAGTGTTAAAAATGAGACTATTAGTCATGAAGCTTACAGTGTTACTTTGTTTCAATATTACACTTTTATTCTTGTAAAATCTATGATGAAGTTCAAAAGCATTTTGCAATGGCCTTAAATTGTGAGTTGTGAGCCAGGATTTATAGTAAAGGTATTTGATGCAATGAAACTTAATCGGTACCTTCCAGTATGTATTTTAGTAAGGGGATTGTCAATCCCATGTTTTTAAATAGATAAAATACAGGCCAAAGTTGACAATATTACAGTTGAGAAGAAACTATTTTATCTTAAAAAAAAATTTCTTAAAATTCTGAGATCATATAATCTAATTTTCTTAATAATAAATTAGGTATATGTACATACAGAATTTTGTTATGGACAAATAAGGATCGACAAGCTTCTTTTGTGCAAAAAATAAATGATTTTTTCTAGTATTACGACAAACCATAATGTGTTTTACAAACTTACCGGTAACAGTTTTTGTTTATAATAAAATATTTAGGAATAATTTGGGTTGTTTATCAATATATTAATGACTTGAATTTTGACAAATCGAATTTGTATCAAAATAATTTTACGAAATATAAAATTGATGTTCTATTACAAGATTGAGTTTTTATTGTCGACAAAAACCAGGATAAATACTAATAATAATACCCTTAATAAAATCAATGATGTTTATGTATTATGAAAATATTTGTTAGAGGACATGTTATGTAACAGTTTTTGAAACATAATTTGAAGGGACGAATAAAAAAAATAAAACAAAAACATATTTTTTCTAGGTTTATATTAAAAATACAAGGTAGGTAATCATCAAAAATAATTATGAACCAAATGTTTTTTATGAATATACAACTTGAACAAAAAGTTGTTTAGAACAATTTTTACCAAATTTGCAAAAATTTTAAATTGAAACGCGTAATTCAGTACAAGTAAACATGAAATATTGTAAATACTTATTTAATATCATTTCGAGTGTTTTACGACGAAAAGGTCATCTGTCCGTAGCGTCTTTTGTCAGAATATTCGTATATTTAGTGTATTATATACCAATATTGTACGCAGTTTTGAAACTGATAATTAAATAAATCATATTAATGTTAACTAGCATTAATAAGTATTAAATTTCTTTAATTTAATTGCCCCCCGTATGGTTGAAACAGCAAATTGATATTTGATTATAGATTACACTATATACAAAATGGCTTTTGAGGCCTGGAATATGGCTTAGCAGTTTGAGCACTTTTGGGCATGGTGACGCTCATTCTCTATCCCTTCTATTTCTGGTTTAAACCTGGTTTTAAACCGAATTGGATGTTTTACTTCTTATGGGAGAACTGATAAGTTTTGAAAACTGACTAAACGATTTTCACAAGATCTTCACACTTACCGATAAATTATTGACAAGGGTGACAGATAAAACCTTGACGTTCTTTCAGTATTACAGTTCATCGCTTTTTCTTTCTAAAGTGTGCGTTGAAAGGAGACAAAAACAATTTTTGGTGACCCATAATTTGTTATTCGAACACCACTTTTCTCCTTGTCGGGTCGTTGACGTTGACTTGTCGCCATTTTATTTCTTTTGTTTACACGCTGCAGTTTGCTTTGCAAATTTAATACATAAATTATTTAGGCAAATATAGGTTTTTGAGAAAACTCCTCGGACTAACGTGTAGGTAAGTCTTGATAAATATATTTTTTTCATCTTAACATGCTCATTGTCATTCTCCTGATTTAGGTGACAGAAAAGGATCATCAAATCAAATTGAATTTTATATTTTTTCATCCCAGGACCGATAGTAAAATATATATTTTATGGATACCTTCCTAAATATCAACGAGATGAGCCATCGGAAGAAAGGGATCATAGCACAAAACAGAAAGGTGATCTTTTTTCTTTCCACTTAGGATATTGAAATTATTATATACTGTAGTCGTGTTCGGCATTATGCTCTGAGAAATATAGATAAACAAAGAACAACAGATATAAAGCATCCCAGAGGAAAAGAGAGGCAATACCTGTACTCTCTCTCTGATATTTGTGAAAGTTACGGCAAAGTATTGTTGTAAATGTCATCTTTTTAATCGACCTGAAAACTTCGAGCAAAAAGATGACACTTTCAACAAAACCCTGACAGATATCAGAGACGATACAGGTTTTTCCTCTCTTTTTCCCTGGAATACTTTTAATTTATTATTCTTTGTTTATCTAGATTTCTCAGAGCACTATGAACGAACTCAGCTTGTATGTTTGAAATAATCGTCCAGTTGGCTTCAAAATGATGATCGATGACATTT